TGTTAAACCGTCGAATTTTATAAAATTTCGCAAAGTTGTTATCGAAACCGTCGAAACTTTCGAGACCCAAAACCCATCGAAACTGTCGAAAGGATTTCTGAAAAGTTTCGACTTTTGACAAAATGGGATTAGGGTTTTGCCCCGCAATTATATTACTTCCTGGTATAGGATGAAATATTTGAATCTTATAATTTGTGATTAGATTTTACGAGAGAGTTAACCAAGTACACCACATAATAATTCTCGACAGATCTACATGTTAAATCCTCGGTTGGAATACATTTTTTATAAAATTTTATTTAATAATAAATAAATCAATTACAAGTAAAAATGAAAATACAATTTATAAAAAGTGTAGGCATATGATAAATTAAAGATCAGAAATTTTTATAATTAAATCACTATACTTGTTCATCGTTACAAAAGGTTGAATTTCATCAAACAACTTCTCAAAGTTATTATGTTCGTCATTATTAGGATCAAAGGAACAAATTTGATAGGCAAAATTCTTCACCCTTTGATTCTTCACAAATTCTTTTAAACGGCTAAAGGTAAGATCAACATTATTGACATTAAAATTTTTAACTAACAAGTAGGATAATTTAATGTGTTTACAATTGTTCAAAAAGATTTTCAGATCATTTGGATCAATAAAAAGGCATAAATCTAAATATCTTAAGGAATTCGGTAAAAGTTGACCCAATTGTTTTAAAAGGGTTAAATTTTCAAAATACATGGAATATTCAAGAGAGAGATATTTAATGTTGACACGAGTGATTAATTTAAATAATTGTTGTGTATCATCTTCATGAATCCAAGATAAGTAAAGTAATTTGATTTCAAAACAATAATTAATAATACTATCAAAAGCCTTTTCCCTTTCATCATGTTCAAAAAGCATTAAATCTAAATGTTGAAGGTTAAGACCAACTTTTTGAAGTAACAAATTAATTCCTGAAGTTCGACCGTGTACTCTTAAAGTTTTGATCTTTAACGGATTAGGATGAACAAGTAATGATTGAAAGTCACGAACGGTAAACCCTCTACAGTGAAAGAAGTGAAGAGATTTAAGTTGTGAGAGGTATAGAATTCCGACAAGTGATGAAATGTTTGTAAAGTTACAAATATTAAACTCGATTGAAGTTAAAGTTTGAGGGTAGGACTTGAAAGCATTCATTAAATTAACGTTATACTTAAGATTTTCAAATGAAAGGGAGGATAATCGATTCTGTGATCGTATTACGTTTGATATGTTTATTGACATACCATTAAAAAATACGTTCATTTGTCTAATCGAAGAAGATATTGATGGTAAAGATGTTAAGAAAGATTCACTTGAAACATTTGAAACATCCAATGTGATAACTCTCAAATCCGATGTAATTTTTGGATTGTTTAAAATTAATTTCTGCATTTCAGGTAGAAAATTTATCCCGTTAGAGCTTAATAACCTTAAATTATTTAAAGATGCTTCACTATTTATAAATAATTTGAATAATAAAACACAAATAGAATTTATTGTTTCTATTGAATTGGGCAAATCCTTTTTTATGTCAAATCCTATATCTTCAATCGTTTTTGGAAAGAATATTTTCCTGCTTGGATTACCTCGAATTGGTTCGGAGTCAGCGGTGGAAGGTAAAGAATCGAGATGATTGATCCAATTGACTACATGCATCTCGAATCGAAATATATTAAATGTTTTTATAAGACTTGGGTAATTAAATAAAGGTTTATTATGTGAAGACGAATTGATCTTAATTCCATATTTCTCTTCCAACTCTACCTTATCAACATCATCTAAAAACGAGAAATAAATATCAAGGAAATTATAATGATGACCTCTGCAAATGACAAAAGGATCTTCCCAAAGTATAGGGATTGTGATCTGACATAAATGTCGATTGACTAAGATACAAGAATAAAGTGATTTTAAATCATTCCGTAAATATTGTATAATTTGATTGGTTACTTCTGGCAAATTTCCAAGGAATAATTTTGTACACGCCATAGCAAAAGAAAAAAAAATGTCGATTAAAAAAAAAAAAAAAATTTTTTAAACACTATATGGGTTTGAGATGATCAGCACATAATCTGATCATAGAGTGCATTGTACGCCGCGGTTAAAACTAAATAGGTTACTAAAAAAAAAACCAAAATGGGCGTTTGTCAATCTAAAAAATTTGATCGGAAACTTTCATTGGTTTAAGAATAGTCATGTGATAAATAGATAGAAATCTTTTATTTTCTTTGGATTCGAATTGTTCGGCTTCATTAAAGTATTCGTGATAACGCCCAAAATTATTTATATGTATAAAAAACTGTGCAAAGATTTCTCGCGGGAAATTATATAATAAAATACTGTGGAAAACCGAACCAAAACATTTCCAAATTTGGTTTAATTATATCGTTGATCACATTTAAATGTAAAAAACAAAGAGTTGCTTTTTTTCGGTATCAAATATGCCATAATATAAAATCATTATAGATTTAATTTCTTTTCTGTACTCTCTCAGAAGAATTTAGAATCTTGTTTTTTGTGAGTTGGGCAAACAGTAAGTAATTTAATAAAGTTGGGTTGTTATTAGAAATGTTCAATATACAATTATTAAATAAAAAGATAATTAAATTTGAGCTACCGGTAATACTATTTTTCAATTATTATCGAATAAAAATGTTCAAATTTAAAAATTTAATGAATTATATAAACTTTCTAATTTCATTTTCCATATGAATTATGTTATTTCTATGTGTTTAAATTTTTCCAATTGGAAAAAAGAAATAAATAAATTTTCCTTAATATGACATAGCATATCATTTGTTTTTTTTTTTTTTTTTTTTGACAATTTCAACTGCTTCTTTAAACTTCTTTCCTTTTGATTTTTGACTGTTTATTAAAAAATTCTTTCATCCGAATTTGAGAATGATTAATCGACTAACAATTAGGACCGAAAATAAGACCAAGGTAATTATCAATGTCTACAACGATTTGACACCTGTTGTCAGCTGGGTGAGATCCGTTCATCCTCATTAATTAGAAAATTAAATTAAAATTTCAATGAATTAATTCTTAACGTTAACACGTAATATAATGGAAATAGGTTTTAGTTAATCTTAAATAATAATTTTTATAATTTGCAAAACGAATTAACGATTAATCAGAGATCAAATAATTAAACAAACATTTTATATTATGGAATGTGCATCTCATGACTTTGGGAATGTGCACGAAATTTTTTTGTAATAAACCTAATCACGATCAAAAAAAAAACTAGTAATTCAACCCAAGTCTCCAAGAGACATTTTGGTCGTGAATCAAGTGAAAAGAAACATTAAGGATCATTGACATTTACAGACTTATGTTTTGGTGTTAAATTATGAATCATAGCAACTGGATTGTCGTGATGTTTACATTTTCCTGTTGTTAAGAATTTGGACGAGAATTCTAAGATTTATACAACTTTACAGGAAAAATAATCATCATTTAGGATATATTTATTGTTTTAGCATAATACATACATATATATATATATAAAAAAAAATGATAATAAAAATTTTAAAAATTTATTCCTACAAATTATATTTAAAACTAAATGTATCTATCAACTTTAACACCATTTAAAAATTGTATAGCCCTAGGTTGATTCTTCAGAGCGGCCATCTTCAAATATTGCAAACCTTTTTCTTTATCTCTATTCAACCCAACCATACCAGCATAATACATCCTGCCCAAATTAAATTGAGCTGTAGCATTACCATTTTCAGCTGCTAAAGTTAAATATTGTAAAAAGGCATCAGTATCTTGAATAATTTGTTCATGATAAAGAGAAAAGGCATAACGCAATTGTGAATCTGCGACTTCTTCATCTGCTGCTTCTTTAAAAAATTTCGTTCCTTGTTTGATGTCTTTTTCAACATGATACCCTTCTGTCAAATAATGAGCTTTCCAATATTTTGCGTAATGATTACCTAGTTTTGCGTGTGATTGAAAACATTCCCATGCTGGTTGACGTTCTCCTGATTTGTGCAATTTTATACCTTCTTCGAGCAATAAAATTGGTTCAATCATTGGTAAGAAATCAATTTTAGTATCTGTGACTTCTGGTATAGGATCATCCCCATCTATAATAATATTATTATATGAGTCTCTGGCCTTTTTTTCTATATCTATATAAGGATCTTCTTTGACCGGTTTCTTTTGCAATGGTACTCTATTTATTACTAAGGGATGACTTCGTTGCAAATCATATAGTTGATTAAACAATTCATGAAGCCCTGGTCGAAGTGTCGGATCATCTTGCCATGCTATTGCGAAATATGAATTAAAAATAAATACAAACTTGGAAATTTTGAAGATTTACAAGATTTACAAGTAAAGGTACTTAATCTCACCGGCCCGAATTATTTTTGCGAAACCATTCTCAACATCAGTCGGCTTCTGACCGAAATCAACGCTCTCTCGTTTACCAGCTTTGACATGATCGATGATATTTGTATAACTCCAATCCCTATATGGGATCACATCAAATGCTAACTCCCACAAAAGCATACCGAAACTAAACAAATGTATGTACGCATATGTAAATTTATGTAAATTTCTTAAATAATGCTTTTAAACAACTTCAAAGGAACGCACCTGAAAATATCACATTTAGATGAAAATTTCACTTTATTACCCTGTCGCAATTTTTCAGGTGCTAGCCAATGAACGACCGCCGTTATATTCTCGACAAAATATCTACTATATTTTGCTGGTCTTCCGAAATTAAAATTTGCAACTTTAGGTTCAAAATTTTTGTTAATCTAGAAATTAGTTTTATTTTTAAAAAAAGAGATGAAGAATTAATATAAAATGTGATTGATAGAAGTTAAATAAATGAAAATCATTATTTATTTAAAATATCTTTACTCACCATAATATTTTGACATCTAATCTCTCGATGAAGAATCTGACAACCATGTAAAAATAATAAACCACGACAAATCCCTAAAGAAATGTCCAATTTTGTAGGCCAATCTATAATATAGTTTTCATATAAAGATTGTAAGTCGCCACGTTCAGCCCAGTCAAAAATTAATACTTGACCTTCATCTAAATCTGATAATCCTAAAAAATCTATAATATTCTTCGAATTGTTTAATAAATGTAACATTGCCAATTCATTATGAAATCTAATAGATTGTTCACTATCATAATATTTACATGCTACATCTTTATTTCTTAATGACATTTTATGTATATTGCCTCCTCTATGATTTGAATTACTGTTATAATTCTTTGTATCGAGATCAGTTATTTTATTTGTAATAAATTTTACTGTCTTTGAATCTGATATTTGTGATTTCTTCATGATTATTTCATCAAATACCGGAACAATACTCTTATGTGATGTCGTAATTCCACCATCAACATTTTCTAAAAACTAGATATTTTCAGAGTAAAATAAAAATTTGAATTAAAAATGATTTAAAATTGATTTCAAAATCTGAAGAAAATTGGTTGAAGAAAAAAAAGATTTCAAAGGAAATACCTCGGATAAAGTATCTCCATCAGTTTTAAGAGCTTCTTCATCTCTTAACCCTTGCCCTTTCTCAGAATAAGTCATCTTTAAACGTAAGACCTTTATAATTCCATCATATTCCTGAATGATCTTAGTAAATTGTCCTTTTAAATCCTCAACGCTTTCAAATTTCTTCAATCCATGAAGTTGTGAAATATCCGTTAGAAATTGATGAATTCTTTCCAACAAATCAATGAATTGGTGATAAGACGAATAAATCTCTTCTTGTAAAAAGTATCCAACATTCCCCTCCTTATGTCTTTTCAAAGATTTGATTGCCATTTCAGTACTTTCCACTCTATCGATTAAACAATCACAAATTTTCTTGTTATACTGAACGTTTTCATACAATTCCAAAATACTTTTAGTTAAATAAAAAATTATGGTTATTAAAGCATCAAAATTCCTTGATGATTCGCCTATAACAGCGATATTTCCCATAAGTTGATTTGCTGTATTCAATTTATTTATCAATTCTTCATTGGATTTTTCAATATCGTATAAGCCTCCTTGAAATATAATTTCCTCATGCACATCTATTGGCTTTGATGGAATGGGGCGCCTTATTTCTATCATATCAGATGGTTCCCTTGTAGGTGGGGCGAATCTCAACACAAAATCCATATCCCCTTTCCTTGAACGTCGTTCCATATTTTGATAAAATCTCTAAGTACTTTTTTTTTCAAATTTTTTTTTTCCTAAAAATAAAGAGTAAAGCTTTTGGATTAATTTATCGCTATTATTTTTTTTTCCTTTTTTTCCCCCTTTTTTTTTTTAAAAAAAAAAAAAAAAAAAAAAAAAAATATATAATTTGAATCAATTATAATTTCTTCAAAAATGAAATAGAAATTTCTATTTATAAAATAATTTAAATTACCGTTAAAAGACAATAATTAGAAAAGAAAGAAATGACGTATTAACAATAAAGATGAATTACCTTGAATGATTTCCAATGTATCCGTAATAATCTTATGTCTACTACAAGAAAACAAAAAAAAAAAAAAAAAAAAAAAATTATTCCGGAAAAATCTTAAGCCACAAATTAATGTTAATGACAAACAAAAAGAACTTTCAAATTCTTAGATTTATTATTGTTATAAGATTATTATAAACTTTGTCGTACTTGAATTATTTTTAAATACCTCCTTAGTACAAATATGTTAAAAATCGCTGAAGAAAGAAATAATGAATTATTAAATTACAATACAAAATTTCTCAAATTTTATACGAATTCTCCATTAACTAGCCGATTACGGAAATTGATTTTGTAATGCATGCAGCACATGTCACATCATTTTATTTCGGATTCGATTTCTGATTACCTTTTTTGGCAGTAAGAATTTTATAATTTTATAACAAAGGAATTTGGTAAGTTCATTAAACTTTGTTGACCAATCCGATCAAATAATCATATTCTGATCTTTTTTTTTTTTTTTTCAAAAAAAAAAAAAATTGTCCGACGACGGGGGGTTTTTTTTTATGAAAATTCATTATCTTACCTGTTGAAATTTGAAAATGCGGCTTGTTTTTATTACCCTCAAAATGACGAGAAAATGTACAAATATATTTCTTATGTAATTAGAGTAAAATTGATAAATATTGTCATGAATTCACGCTTTTAAAATAAAATAATTATATTGGATTTTCTCAATTACAAACTCAAAGAAAATATTCATTGTATTTTGTTAATTACGAGATGGTACGAGAGGTGACGTTAAATCTTTTAATTGATTGTTAGTTATTTGGAAATTAAAATTTAATCTTAATCAAAAGAGAGGTAATCACAATCAACAGTAGAAAAGAAGAAGCCTAAATTTACACTACATTATGTAATAAAATAAATATGTATCTTTTGGCAACTTCCTTGAGAGCAATAGTTTATTTTACTGCTGCGACAATAGTTGCAAGTTTGTAAAATCATTAAAAGAGATTGTATTAAAAATTAGGTTTGAAACCTCAACAACTGGAGAGAATATTTGTTTTTTGTTGGATTTTTATTAGCATGACGATGATTATAAAAAATAAATATCTAAAAAATCCGTCGCTTAAATAAATTATGTAATCATTGATTTGAAGGAGAAACTGAGAAATGTTGCATTTTTTTCAATTGTTATATTTCGCAAAAAGCATACATAATTGTAGTTACAAAATATTGCAACTTTCTTGTTATTCAAAATTATTTATTCAATACACACAATCATGTATATAAAATATTTCCGAGTGTTTATTAAATAGACTTTTATCAATTCTTTGTTATTTAAGAAAAATAAAAAATATATTTAAGAACATTCAAAGTTCAGTCTATTAGGAACATGCCTTATCTTTCATAAAAACTCATTGGAAAACGCAAGAAATTATCATTATTTAACTTTCGAAATAAATATAGGCATTACAGTATTTCAAAATTATCTTTGAAGGAATAAATTAAATTTAGATACGTCATTGGGTTTACACTGATAAATGAAATATATTAATTAACATTTTTACTTTTTATACTAATCAAAATTAACTACTAACTAGTTATAATGTCGGAAGACATATTGGCCGTAGGAATTATTGACGGATCACATGAACCGATCTTAACCAAATTTATAATTTGATTAAGCACAGAATTTCATTTAAATAAGGTGTGTTTCTGCTTGCATGGAACATTTTTATAAAACTACTTTGTTTAATGTATTTAACTAAAAGTTCCATTTTCAAATATTCGGATTAAATAAATCATTCCGCTGAGATACAGAATTTGTCGTCCCTTCAACATGTAAATCTTACGGTCACAAGGAGAATCTTATTTCGTTATATTATTAAGGTAATTATCCTTTGAAATAATATCTTAATATTTCACACATGTTTATTCCTACAAAATCTTCTAACAATATATAACTTTAATAATAAAAGCTGATGATGCCAGATTTACTCAGTTTCATATAATAATCTACGGCTGTTCCATCTATCAAATTTCTACTAAGCGTCCCTTTATCTTTATATTTAATAATGAAAATTTTAAGATTTTGACTCGCTCATAGTCAGTGGAAAACGAAAAAAACAACACGACGATACAAAAAAATTGGGAAATATGGATTTCCGAGTTTTATTAGCGTTACGTTTTTGGATCCTCATGAGAAATTCCTGAAACAACGTTAAATGATTGGCCCTTTTACAACCAAAAGCATTAATGGTTTTCTGTAAAGGGCCAGTTGGTCCCTTTTGACATCGAGGGCATCGATTTTCGTTCGTCATTTTGAGTGAATAATTTTTGAATACCACTTTGGAAAAAGTTGCATAATTGACAGAATTTTCTATAGGTCAGATCCTCAAATTGTTCACCAATATTAAATCAAGTATCACTTCCAATTTTTGTTTCTTCGAAATGTCGAAACAGTTGAAATTTCTCACATTTTTCCGCTTTAAATGATTCCTCTTTGTAAAGTGGCTATAGATGAAATCGATCGAAAGAAAAGAAAATGAGAACATGACTCAAATGTTAGATCACATGTTATTCAGATAAAGACTGAACTAATTGAGGATGGGGATTTAAACAAAAGGTTGGATTATCGCTATTTTGATGCTCTCAACAAGATTATCATCTAAACCAACAAACGCGAAAATACAAATAGGCTTTGAAGGTACTCTTTCCTGAAACCACCAAATTGCCACTACATCTTAATGGAGCTTGGGTTCAAGGCTCAGATCGTGAAAAGCTACTCATAGAACAAATGAAATTACGGATTTAGATCAACTGACTCAGTTGAAACAGAATATTCTACTTGATTTCATGCCAAAAATTTATTGAAGCTTTTAATAGAAGCCGGCAGATTAGACATTGATGATGTGAATATTTTTTCGAGCGTTTTCAAAACAACCTACTGATGAACTTACGCAGATTACTAAATAATTATTGGAAAATAGGCAACGACCTCTTATATCACATCGTTATTGATATCAATGTTTTAAGAACTTATTCTTTTTGCATAAAAAGTTAATAAAGTCAAAGTTGAAACATTTTTACTGTTTATTAGATTAGTTATAAACTTATTCACCATTGAGAGAACATTTCATCAAATTTGCAATGAAGGACGACTAGGGAAACTTATTCGGCAATAATCTTAGTTGGAGGTTTAAATGAATCAGAGTATTAACAAAAAAAAAAGACAAACATAATTCGCCTATTCCTGTTTGCCAACATTGAATTCAAATTTAACCAGCTTCGTGCAGGTATCTATTGCCACCTTCAGTTTGCTGATATCAAACAAGGAATTCTATTCATCTTTGTGCCTATCGTAGATTTCTCACAAAATTTAATGTCTTTTTGAAAGAGACCTATGTCTTTGAAGATTTTATGCTCTCTAGAGAATCCAATGACACCAATTCTTGCTTCCTAAATAGATATTTAGAAATGAGAATGATTTCAAGATAATCCTCCTTGTTGTCATTCAAAGAAGATAATCAATTTATTCGACCAATAACAACTTTATATTTCGAACCGTATTTGATGGAAACGGAAACACAGATGTCTTACTTCATTCCAGCACGTATCGCGTTTATCGAGTATTTGATTCAATATACAGTCAATGAAACAACATTTAATAAGTACGCCGATTATATTGAGAAATTATAGAAAGAGCTTGAACCACCATCTGACATACTTAATCGAGGCGTTACATTGGTTGATCATTTAGAAAGCATCAAAAGAGTTCCAAACTTCCAATCGCTAGATGTTTGGGTAAACCTTACCAACACACTATAATCAAACTCAAGTTATAGGTTGTTTAAAAGAAGTAATCATCTCAAATATAAAGATTCACTGTCTTGTGTAGAAATCTCCGATTAATAATGAATGGAGGAACGGGACAGACTGAAACGTTTAAGCTAAAGTTTTCTTTTATTATAAATGGTGTGAAGTCGATTTATGCTTTCTTCAGCTCTGAATTCTTTCATAGGATATTCACGCAAATCTGATATAGTATGGACTATTTGTTATGAAAACCATACATGTATAGTTTTTAATGTATACATTCCATACATAAATTAAAAAAAAAGAACCATGTTATCTGTTCAGGTTTGCGTAATACCTGGCAAATCCGACTAGTTCAACTACGATCATATTCTTGTACTTTTAAAATTGATATTGATCGGCTAATAAAAAACTACCGAAACAGTTATTAGTTTACTTTTTATATAGCAAATGTTACAGGTACTTAAGCATGCCCTGCGTAGTTTACGCAATCTTTTAGAAAGGGAGAATTTCTAACACTTCGATCAATCAAGCGTGGCGTTATTATAGACGTGAGGTAGGCATTTTTAATGGCTATTCTATTATCATTCTCTAAATATTCCTGACCAACTTTTTCTGTGGTTATCAAGCTAATTGAGCCAGAGTCTGAATGCATGAATTCCCTGATATTCAAGGTGTACGTCGCTCTACTTTGATTGAATATCACATTTCCTCACAACAGATCCTCACTAATTCTTAATGAAATGTTATGTTCTTCTTACCCATCATATTCAACATATCGAAACTACTAGAAATGCTAGAGAATTTGTTCGAGTTTATATTGGAGCCTCACCTTTTTTGATAAAGACAATTTATTATTTGAACCAGCATTTACATCCGGTAGTTGGTATTGATTATGAATAGTATGAAGTTAATTTTATTTTAAAAAAAATTGTGCAATTAGGCTGAAACTATATTAGTTAATTTTTATCCTGAATGGATGCTAATTAAGTCGATGTTCAAACCCTGTTCAATTTTTATTACTAGACCCAATTGGAACTTATGCTTGCTGTTATTGCTTACAACAAAGTCTTAACCACACAAGCCGCTCATGTGCCAAACTTTCATGGAGGTCTATCATTTGGTGAATCGAATTCAACCTTCTAATGATATAATGTAGCCTTAGTAGAAATGTGGTCCACAGAATTGAATCAAAGACTTGCTTATCTGATAATATACAAGCCCACCCGAAAATTACTATTATGGCTTTAAACCTTACAAAGTGCTATTCAATAGAGACAAGTCATTTACTGTTGAATTTTGAGCAATGAGAAAATTAAGACGATTGTTGCGCATACATCTTAAATGAAATTCTGCAAAATTTAAATCATTAAGATAAGTTTTTTTGGCCAAGCTTACATCTAATGCGTTAATTCTTCAAGGACATTCTTTTGAATGATATCCATGTATAATCTTACTACATTACTTAGGATTTTCTATAATCAATCAAATCTTCTTTTTGTCATTAGAATTTAGATTTTACTCCTTTATTAGAGAGGCATCTATACGAATCGTTATATGGATTGAATTTCAATTTGGAGAAATGAAATTAATCATTTGGTAAGTTTCATACCCGTTCTTGCACTTAATACGTCAATTGTAAATTCTTGACATTCTTCTTGTTATTTATTAGAATTTAGGTTTTTCTTGAATTCTCTCCATTTGAAGATTGTCTAACAATTCGTTAAATGTTTGGATTTCAATGATTTATATTTGCGTCAATGGTTCAAAAACATTCTAGACATTTTTGATTAATACCCATGTGTAATCAGGTAATCAATTTAAAACACTGATTGTTTTCTTCGATGATAACATTTTATCATAAACCAATACTTTCACATAAATAAGTTAATATTATCATCAAAATTTAGAATTGTAGGTCAACAATGCTCAAAGAAACATAGCTTCATCAAATAAAAAAAAACTGTTAAATCTCTAGTAAAGAAAGTACAACTTGAACAACCTTAATAACCAACTTCTTCAACCACGTTAAAACTACCACGATCATATGGAAATTGAAATACATCCACCTCATTAAAATGAGAGAACCCCCGATATATCGTCTCATATATGATTGGGAGGTAAAGGTTGCTGATAACGAAAAGAATTCACCAATAATAAGGATCATGTTAGTTCAGAGATCTATCTGCATGATGTATTTCATGAAAATCATTTACATGACATGTTTAAGAGTTTTCTCTTATTTTTAAAAAGATGGCTCACTCAAATATTTCTTTAACAGCACTATTTGTAATTATAGTTACATCCGGGTACGTTTGTTTTCTTTGTAGAATCTTTCCATGGGCTGGCAGTTCGTCTATAATCAACGCGGCTTCTTTTAAAGATGAATTGATACCGTGATTAGAATACAATCTTTTAATGTTTGTTTTTCTTACAATTGCACGAAACATTAATAAATTCTAGCATTTTTAGATCTTCACAATTTAGCACAAATCTATTGTAATCCTACCAATACGGTAAGGGTCTTTTCATTTTCTTCCAATTTCTTTATTCATTTAATTTACGTTTGTATAGTAACACTTCGTCTCCACTTTTGTGTTGATTCTTTAAGAAGTTCTATAAAAATTTTCTTTCATAGATCTTGTAATTCTGGTATCGATAGAATAAGTTATTACAGAGGTTTTTCTAAATTGATGGGTTCTCACACGAATAGATCATAATATTAAGATCTTAGTAATATTTATATCAAGATCTCATAATAATGACATCAAGATTTATTCAATTTGGGATCAACCCGGAAGTGGTCTTATTTTTATTCTTTTGACATCTGGAGTTTTTCTTTCCATAATATTATTCAATGTTCCATGATTGTGCATTGCGGATTGTAGGATAAGCTGTGAATAGGATTAGACAAAAGAGATTTAATGATAGTTTTGTTAGCATCATTAAATTGCTATGCTGATGCAGCATCAGGACGAACTATTAGAGTCTGATCTGTGTTTTTTAGACCTATTTTATTTTTTACTTTAAAATTTAGAATAAAATTATTCAAGAAACTTTTGAGTTATTTTCATTTTATTTTTTTTTTTTAAGAATACTCTTTAAATCAATGCTTTTTGAGGATTTTTTTTAACACCTAACCCTAATCCACATTAATTTCAGCTAATCGGAAGTTGTGGCGAAATTAATAAATCATATTTTTATGCTTTAATTCTGATTAATACAATTGTGAAACGGAAATAAAATAAATCACATATTTTTTGATC